CGGATACGACTTCATCTTCGGTAGAGATTGGCTACGCACGGTTAGTACTCAGTTCGATTGGGCTCAGGGAAGCTGCAGCGTCAAGGTAGATGGCGAGTTCCGGGAGCTGCCACAGTGGAGCGATGCGGCCACATCCTCCACAGCTATCATTAATGCTGTTTGTGTGCGATAGTTAATGAAGCGTGCGGCGCGGATCTTTGCGGTTTTCCTTGAGGAGGTGGAAGCTGAGGAGGGAAAAGGAGGGAGTGCAGCTGTTGGTGCGAAGGCGACTCTACCTGCTGAGGTGAGTGCACTATTCGCAGAGTTCGCAGACGTCTTCCCCGACGAGTTGCCCCCAGGGTTACCTCCTAGCCGAACAGTAGACCATCGAATAGAGTTGGAGCCGGGGAGCAGGCCCGTAGCGAAGCCGCAGTGGAGGTTGAGTCCAGCAGAGACAGAGGAGATGACGCAACAGGTTGGGCATTTCCTAGCGCAGGGGTTCATACAGCCATCTAGATCGCCTTGGGCAGCACCAATCTTTTTCGCGCCTAAGAAAGACGGAGGGTTACGGATGTGCATAGATTACCGCGCACTGAATGCCATCACTGTCAAGAATAGATTCCCGGTGCCGAGAGTAGAGGATCTTCTCGATGCAGTACAGGGCGCTAGAGTCTTCTCAAAGATCAACCTTCGTTCGGGTTACCATCAGATTCGTGTAGTTCCAGAGGACCAGCACAAGACAGCGTTTCGTACGAAGCAGGGGTTGTACGAGTTTAGAGTTCTACCGTTCGGCTTGACCAACGCCCCAGCGACGTTTCAGACGCTCATGAACACCGTCCTTTCAGAGTTCCTAGGTTTGTTCGTTGTCGTTTACCTAGACGACATCCTGATCTTCTCCAAGTCGAAAGAGGAGCACGTGCAACACTTGCAGAGGGTCTTTGAGGTCTTGCGAAGGGAGAAGCTGTACGCGAAGCAGTCAAAGTGCGAGTTCTTCCTCCCCGAGGTCGAGTTTCTAGGTCACGTCGTATCCGCTAGTGGCATTAGGACCGACCCAAAGAAGATCGCAGCAGTACAGGATTGGGTGGCACCGACCTCAGTCAAGGAGTTGCAGAGCTTCCTCGGATACGCAAATTATTACCGTCGTTTCGTTCAGGGTTACGCATCGATCGCTAGTCCACTCACCGACCTACTTCGGAAGGGCGTAGAGTACGTTTGGGGTCCAGCGCAGCAGCAGGCGTTCGAGCAGATGAAGCAGTCGCTCACGTCTTCACCGACACTGTCGTACCCTGATCCCACTCGCGCGTACGTTGTAGTGACCGACGCTTCAGATCAGGCCATAGGAGCAGTGCTTCTTCAGGACCAGGGACGCGGGTTGCAGCCGATCGCGTACGAGTCGCGTAAGCTTAGGGGAGCGGAGTTGAACTATCCGATTCACGACAAGGAGGCGCTTGCGATCATCCATGCGTATAAGGTGTGGAGGTGCTACCTAGAGGGGGCAGATAGTGTTATACGCACGGACCACTGTTCGCTTCGTTTCCTCAAGTCGCAGCCGCACCTGAGTCGTCGCCAGGCTAGATGGATGGAGTTCATGGAGGGGAGTTTCCACTACAGGATCTAGTATAAGCCAGGCGTGCGCAACCCAGCAGATCCGCTCACTCGCCCTAGTTGCCAGCTCGCTAGTCTCACAGTCACTGCCGGCCACCCACTTCTCACAGCACTCTTCGAGCACGGTTACACAGTAGATCCCGACTTCACACCGCAGCCGCCCGTAGGAGCAGAGGTGCAGGGTAGTGTCTACATACGGAAGGGTACCACACGGATTTGGGTTCCAGCCTACCGCCCTCTTCGACAGCTCCTTCTCTCAGAGGCGCACGACGTAGTTAGTGCAGGTCACTTTGGTACGTACTTCTCTCAGAGACGCTTAGTCGTACGTACTTCTGGCCAGGGCTTGCAGCAGACGTAGAGGATTACATTCGCTCGTGCGACACGTGTCAGCGTACGAAGTCCTCTCGCCAGCGCAAAGCAGGACTCTTGCAGCCGATTCCACCGCCCGACCGCCCTTGGCAGGTAGTCACAATGGATTTCATCATGGCTTTACCGCGCACAGTTAGGGGTCACGACGCCATCTTCGTGGTAGTGGATAAGTTCTCTCGAGCAGCGCACTTCATCCCCACGCACGGCAAGGTCACAGCGGAGGAAGCCGCGACGCTGTTCGTAGATAACGTAGTCCGACTGCACGGGGTTCCAGATTCCATCATCTCAGACCGCGACCCTCGTTTCACTTCGAAGTTCTGGAAGCAGCTTTTCGCACTGTTTGGGACTCGCTTAGCCATGTCGTCTGCGTACCATCCAGAGACAGACGGACAGACCGAGCGTGTGAACCAGACCTTGGAGCAGATTCTTCGCAGCATCACGATGCACGACGCAGCCACATGGGACAAGAAGCTGAGCATGGCCGAGTTCGCCTACAACAACACGCACCACTCGTCCACAGGCATGTCACCGTTCTTTGCACTGTACGGTCAGCACCCCAATGTCCCCACTCGTGTCGATCTCACACCCACAGTCCCTCGTGCGGACAACTTCCACCAGCATCTCACCTTCATTCGTGATCACGTGAGGAAGCACCTTGAGCTCGCAAATGCATGCATGGCACGCACCACCAACCGCAGTCGTCGTGAGGTGTCGTTTTCAGCTGGCGACCGTGTCCTTCTCGACAGCCGCAACCTCCGACTGCCACAGGACAGCAAGCTTCGCCCTCGTTTCATTGGTCCATTCGTCATTGAGCGCGTACTAGGTCCAGTCGCATACCGCCTTCGCCTTCCTGCTCATTTCCGCATGCACCCGTCATTCCACGTGTCTCTCCTTCGTCCATACACCGATCCCAATGCCACCTTCTCGGGCCGTGATCGCAATCCACTGCCAGTAGCTGTTGACACCGACGAGCCCGACTACCAGATCCAGCGCATCCTCAGGCACCGACGCCGTCTCCAGGGGGGTGTCTCTTTCGTCGACTTCTTGGTTCGTTGGCGTGGTTACGATGTAGCCGACGACAGCTGGGTTCCTTCGTCCTCGCTGTCTCCCGACAACGCTTACCTTCAAGCGTACCTTCAGTCTGCAGGCGCCGCGGACGTCGCCTCCTTGGGAGGGGGGTAGTGTTACAGGGGGTTTTACTGTTCACTTTGCACAGTAACTCCCAACCCCATCCTTATCCTTATCTTCTTGGATTTCCTAGTGCCACGTGGCACTCTACTTTTCATGCTTCTACTTTCTAGTCCCACGAAGTACTTTCCATCATTCGATCTTGCATGCTATATCAACCTTGCTTGTATTCCCTAATATCAATGAATTCTCGTTACTCAGTAACTCTCTCGCATATTTCGCCAATAGTTCTTTCGCCAAAGTCTTCCGCCGCGTTTCATCCTCGACTTAGTCGACCCCGCTAATTCTTTAGCGGACTTAGGCCGTCGGGCCTAACACCCATGTCTTATAGAATGTAGCCAACTGTTAAGACCCCCCCTCAGTTTTGGGGTGGGATTTTTATAATACCCCCGGGTCTTATATCCGGGGTATTACGGTAAGAGAAATTGGGGTCAATTGCAAATTAATTGAAGTGTGAGTCACCCTGTTTGATTAGGCGAAGTGGAGGGGTATATGGGAGCTTGTGGTGCGACAATTTCCCATTTTGCCCCTGATTCAATTGCAAAACAAATTTCTGGTTGCGTGAGTGAGACTCTCGGGAAGCACAAACATTTGCTGGCAGTTGAGCTTCGGCACCGAACCACATTCCGTGCCTAGATGGTTCGGCGACCCCCTGCGATTTGTGTTTGGTTCGCACCCCTCGCTTCACTTCTCGTAACTTCAGTACCTCGTCAACCAATCAGAGCCCAGTTCCAGTTACCAACTGCAAAACAATTGTAGTACATGAGATCCTGGCTTTAAGATACCGCACAACAAAAGCATAAGAAATTCTGAAACGTCTCATAACACAAGCACGACTTGGCTTGAGCTACTCTTGAAGTGACCTCAGCAGTCAAACATGAGCAGGAAACGAAGGAAAAGCCCAAAAAGACTAGAAAACAGAGGGACGGACACAGGACCCGAGGGGCCATTTCCAAACACGAGGGGTGACCGGAGCAGTCAGCTGGTAGTGCATGTGAGTACTCATCACTGTGAATCAGCGCAGGTCTATGAGGAAGATCATCATGCTGCTCCTACAAACCCCAGTGCATGCTCTTAGCAGCAGAAATGGGGGGCGTGAGACGAGCTTAATTCACGTTCGCTGCATACTTGGATCCAGATACTAGATGAAAAGGAGGGCGCGAAGGAGAGAGGGCTCGAGGAGAAATCATTTGCCTCAGTAAAGTCGAAGTTCGGTGATGTGTGCAATCACAGGCACGCTCAGGAGTTTACGGAAAAATGAGCATCACCGGCAAATGACCCAACCAAACGGAACTTTGGTAACGCCGCACTCAGAATGGGAGGAGTCCCAGACAGGGATGCGGCAAGGTGACCCAGCATGGCACTGACCTGTGACATCAGAAGCGCGGAGCTGCTGACGGTGAGTCCATGGGGACCAAGGGCTGAGGTCAGCCGGTTTCAAGCCATGCCAGCGCCACTGAAGGCAGATCAGCGCCAGCAAAGCAAAGTCCACATCCTTGAAGTCGAGTTAGAGGGAGAGGAGCGGTTTCAACGCCATTCAAACGGCTCAGCCAGGGTGTATGAGAGCCGCATGGCACTGTCGGCTGCTTCCAGGATCCTTCGCTTTCGCCTCCAGGTAGGTCAGATAGGGCAGGCCCGGGTCCAGCATTTGACTAATAGGCAGCTCCAACGGCTGCAGCACACAAGTACAATGCACGCACCATGCAAGAACCAAGCGCGCAGCCAGGAACAAACAAAAAAGAATCAACAGCACAGACCCAGCAGCACCAACCAAACACCAAAACCAACCAAGCCCCCAACACCAACCAAACCCCCAGCACTAACCAAGCCCCCAACACCAACCAAGCCCCCAGCACCAATTAAGCACCCAGAACCAAGCAGGCACCCAGCACCAAGCAGGCATCAGCAAGCGTCACATCCCAGGCCAAACACGAGAGAAAGGAGTGCACTGAGCTGAGTGACGCAGCCACAAGTAGTAAGAGACACTGAACGTAGCTGAGAGGATAAGGCTTTGGGGAGAGGTGTGGGACAAGGGACGATAACAGAGAAAGAACAAGGAAGCCCCTGAAGTTGAATGCGTATTCCTCCTCACCTGAATGGTAAAATCCCTCTCCACTGCTTTCGCAAACTCCCTCGTCTCTGCGCCAAACCCCGTCCCCCGCGGCCCCCAGTAGTGGTGCATGCGCAGCTGCGCGGGATCCGCGCGCTCAGTTGTGCCCACGGCCATGGGGAAGAAATGCGGCGCAACGCGCATGTCCGCCCACTGCTCCACCGCCGCCACGCACACGATGGGCTTCGAGCGCTGCAGGTGCTGCCGCCAGTACGCTAAGTGCTGGCACTTTGTAAAACGGCGAAAGAGCAGGGAGGAGTGAGGGGCTTCGCTGTTGCCAACAAAGAAAATGGTTGGCGCGAGGACCTGAAGATGGGTTCACAACAGTCGGAGAGAGGCAGGGGACATAAAGAGGGGTTAGAGATGGTTGGAAACATCGGACGAGAGGAAGGGAAAAGATATGCAAAGACCCAGCAAAAAAACGGTTGGAGACATCGACGAGTGGGGGGGGGGAGGGGAGGGGAAGGGAAAGGGGGGGGGGGGGGGGGATAAAGGGACGGGACAGGCATGCAAGACACAGCAAAAAAAAAGCAAAACGGGCACGCCTGACGCGGTCAAATGCGCGCAAGACGCGTACCTGTGTGACAACGGGATCCGCGAGAGAAACGTTGCGCATGAAGCGGAAGTGGAAGCCCGCGCGGAGATCCCGAGGGTCGAAAACGAACTCATCCGCGTCGCAGAACAGCACCCACGTGGACGCGTTGCGATACTCCTTGAGGAAGTGCAGAATCGTGCCGTTCTGCTCGGGGAAGACGTTGTACGCGACGCAGAGGATGCGGTGCAGCGGGAGGTAGGTGACGTAGCCCGCGCGGATGAACGGGCCGAGGGCTTCAGACTGGCGTTCCGAGGCGTCGTGCGCGCACTCGTACCCGAAGACGTGCTCCACGCCGACTAGCCGTGTGAAAGCCACCCACTGCAGCACAACGACGACACCAAGCATGCATTTGACGCCGGAAATGATAGCCCCCCACCCAACACAACCCAGTCACACCACACCAATGCAACAAAGCACACCAAAGGGAGAAGAAAGGTCGTGAGAAACGAAGGAGCGAGTGGGACCAGGGAGATGCGAAACAAGCGAGATAGGGCGGCGAGACAGGAACGAGAACAAATGCAGAAACCGAATAGAGACGGAAACGGCAGGAAAGTTGAGCGGTTTGGGGGGAGGGTGGGGTGGGGGGGAGGGAGGGGGGAGTTCAAAGGGGAGGAGTGGAGAGGAGTGTACGATATATTGTTGGGGGAGGATGCGGGGGCTTGCCTGCCAGATTTCAAAGGAGGAAAATTTGAGTCGGTCACCGCGGAACACGCGATTGTATACCATGGCGGAGAGGAAGTACTTGGGGGACGCCGGCACCCTCCGAGGAGCAAGCATAACAGATGCTTCGGCAGCATCGCCAGTGTGATCTGCAACCTCCTCAGAGTTCACCGAGCTGGATCGCGCACAACCCTGCCGTCTGATATCGCACCGTTTGGAGCAGCGCCGTCTGCCGTTTCCGTTTGCCTCTGCAAGCTGTTCTGCTCGCGCAGGTGCTGGTAGATCGGAGGCTCGTACCGGCGAATCACGGTCTGCTCCGGCAGTGGCAGAGCGGCGACAGGCGGGTGAGCGGGTAGATGCAGACCCTCTGGCTCTCGTCCAATGGCCTCGAAATCAGCATCGCTCGCGGAACTGAACATGCGGTGTGATGAGAGAAGGTATAAGCCAGACTGAAAAGCAGATTCGAGAAATATATCAGACGGACTAGATAGAGCAACAACAGTTACGAAGAAAAGCACGGAAGTTGGAGGAAGAATTTGGGGAAAAAAAAAATCCTTACAATGTGGGAAGGCATCTGGCCAAGGCATCAAGCCTGATGCGAAGATCCGCAAGAATCGCATTGGCGCGTGAAAGATCCGCAGGCGTCGAACCGATGTTACCGATTCGTGGCTGCGGTGCGATGCCTGCCTGAAGAAAAAGGGACCAGATAAAACGCCAGATAAGCAGCATGCGACGAGAATCAAGAGAACGGACGACATGGAGAAGACTGATAAGGAATGAACTGATAAGGGTCGAAGGCTCGCAGAAAGCTTCACCATGGCATTGTCGCCGACGCCTGATGAAGCCTCGCGAAGGAACGGCGCTGAGAATTGGAAGGCCAGATGCTGCAGGAGCATGGTCGTCATGACGCCTAGCAGCACGTTGAGGAAGAAGCGTAGATGCTGATGCACGATCGACGGTCCGCGTGAGAACCACGCCGGCGCCGTAGCAGATGCAGATGCCATCGCCAACGGCGATTCAGGTTTAGAGGCCAAATTTGAAATAATGCATGCCTGACAGCGTACTTACTAACTTCAGCAGCCGGTCATCCAGAAAACGATCTGACGGTCGTTTAGTTAAGAGTGTGGATCGTTCTGATTTGAAGCCTAGTCTCAAGCGATTGCTATTTTTTACGCACGTGTCATTACTGAAGAAGCGGCCATGAACGGACGGACCGAATTAGCAAGCAAGCGCCTGAAAGAAGTCGCGGAGCAGGATTGTGGAATGGAAGGGATTGCGAGGCTAGCAGAAGTGAGGTGAATTGCCGTGGAGCAGATTCATATCACAGAGGGCGGTCGGAAAGCCAGAGCGGAGGTGTTCTAGTCCTGGGCCCTGATCGGTAGCCCCTAAGGGCGTGTTACATTTTCGAATTTTCCGTACGGTCCGGACATTCACCACTCTGAAACAAACTGAAACCCACTTGAACAAAGTGTTCAAACAAATAAACCGATTTCAACCGTTCAGACGGTCCGGTCCGTTTGGAGAAAACTCGAAAATGTAACACGCCCTAAGCGGTTGGTGAGTTCGTTTACTCGTGTTGCCACGCGAAAGAGGTTCGGTCGATCAAGTCCAACTGAATGCTGCTGCAGCCTCTGGTTGCGGGAATTTTGCGCTGACGAGGCGGGCGGGAAGCCTTGGAGGGTCGCCAGAGGAGGGGCGGGGAGCCGCGAAGACTGTCCGAAGAGGTGGCGAGCGGACTAGCTTTCGCCAGGGTTCGAAAGTTACCTAATACCGCTGTGCAAGTAATGATACCGTTCGCGGAGTGTTATGAGTTGTACGAAAGAAGAGTGCGCAGAATGCAATATCGCGGAAGTGATTACAACTACCGTCACCCTCCGGATATAAGCGCCATCCTGGAATAAGCGCCAGGCGCTTGTAATTGGCATATGACGCTTATATGCGCTCCTCGACTATAAGCGCACCCCCTGAAAAAACTTGTTTTATTATAAGCGCATGTAAACTATAAAAATTGAAATTGGTTCAAAACACTGTAAACGATTTTTACTTTAGCAGGCGGATGTGTTGCAAATTCGGTTCGCTTCACATTCGAACCCTGCACTGGATGCGAGTCCAGTCAGCAGGAGCTATCAGAGGCACCTTGTCATTCACATTGAGTATATCTCCCAGCGCGGGCGAAAATTTCAGTGAAGACCCCAAACAACTTCGACTCGATTGAAAAGACAAGCACGAGATATACAGTTTGGTGTTAAGAAATATGATATATATATATGTGTGTCATTTTATAAGTGTTTGCGCTTATAAATTTGACTCGATTATAAGCCCACCCCCCTAAAAAACCTTGTTTTATTATTCCCCCTCATGGGGGCTTATCCGGGGGGTGACGGTACTGAGAAAACAACGAGGCCTATGCATAATATAGTAAGGCTAGCTAGGCCGTGGTCACGGAGTCGCGAGATGGTTGGGTGCAGGTTTGGGGTTGGGAAACCCGAAGGCGGCACGAGGGACGTTCGGAAGGCGAGGTCGTCGGACCGAGCCTGAACTTCGAAATGTTGGAATTGTACGCGTACTGAGTGCCTCAGTAAGGAATTAGGAAAATTCCTTACACTACCCCCTCCCCCCCCCCCTTTAAGAAAGGTGGTCAATATCAGGCACGCGTCGGCGTGAAAGATAATCGCGCAATACCGAGTGGCCCTGTAGTGAATCATCCAGGTGTCAGAATGTTATTATCTAGCCTGTAGTGGGGTGCTCTATAGCGGGTACAACCCAGTTAGGGTTTGCTATATGTATCCCAACTGCTGCTAGTGAAAGCGCTCCTTTCTTCAATTCTGTTTCTGTCTGCTAACTTTGACATGGTTTCAGAGCAGATCGACCCCCTTGGGTCGATCCTGTGGGTGGGCCCACCACCTAACTGCTTCCGCTGCTACTCTGTCTGTTGCACGCCCTGTGGCGTGCGACGCCTTCTTCCTGCCGCGCGCGGAGAGCGCGGCGATTTTTTTTTTAAGGTTTTCAGTCCGCCGTGCGCTCGGGGCGCGCGGCGGTTTCCTACCGTGGGGGACCCGTGAGAAGATTTGAACAAGAATGGGTGAACTATGAAATGAAGTGAGTACAAATATGAAACCCTAATTGGTTGTACCCCCTATGGGATACCCCACTATAGCCTACACAACAGCATAAGCTATAATGTTCTGACACACCCCCATAGGCAAAGTGGGGGAGAACAAGGGGTCACAAGACCAGTCAAGCAAAGTAAAGCAAAGCAAGCTCAGGGTGGATCACAAAGTCACCACACAGTCCGAGCACAGGGTCAAGGCCACACGGCCAGTTCACATGCAAGAGTACACACATACATATAAAGCTAGACAAGCAAGAGCAGGTATATATATATGTGAGAGTATAGGCAAGGTCAAGAGGAGAGCAAGTGAGGCAAGACGGGCACAAGACCCAGCTGAGTGCAGAAGCGCTGATGATCACAAGGCGGAAGTGCCTTGGTGAAGACATCAGCAGTGTTGGCCTCAGAGGCCACGTACGCAAGCCGCAACTGACCACGTTGCTGTAGCTCACGAGCAAGGAAGTAGCGGAGAGCAATGTGCTTTGTTCTGTGCTCCAGTCGCTGCTCTCGACACAAGGCCAGCATGGCCTTGTTGTCTACGTACAGGACTGGAGGAGAACGAGGCGGCTCTCCAAGGTCGGTCAGCAGGTAGGTGAGCCAGCGAAGCTCCTGTGCAGCCATGGCCCCGGCGTGGATCTCAGCCTCACAACTCGAGCCAAGAACAGAAGACGAGCGAGTAGCCCGCCACGAAACAGAGCCGGAACCAAGGCTGAAGGTGTAACCCTGTGACGACCGCTGCGTAGCCTGGTCGTCAGCCCAAGAAGCGTCCGCGTGCCCAGTGAGGACCACTGGACTCCGCCCTCCAAGCACTAGCCCCATGCCCGACGTACTGCACAAGTAGCGCAACACCCTCTTCGCTGCAGCCATGTGCTCTGGTCTGTGTCTCCCAGGAGCAACATAGCGTGCAAGAATGCTAAGAGGGTATGCAAGGTCAGGTCGTGTGCAGGTCATCAGGTACATGAGGCAGCCAACAAGCTCTGGGTACGGGCCGCTCGACTCTACGGACTCATCCGAAGGCAGAGCTGAGAGCGAGTGGCGAGTAGACAGAGGAGTGGCCTGAGGCGAGGAGTACGTGAAGCCGAAGCGCTGAAGGACCTGCTGCACCATGTGTGACTGAGTCAGGGTAATGGTGCGGCGTGCTCTGTCCCGGGTGATCTGCAAGCCAAGGTAGCTGCGCAGTTCACCCAGGTCTGTCCACGTGTGTCTCTTCTGCAGCTCGGACTTCACGTAGGCGAGTCCAGCAGTGTCAGCTGTGGCAAAGACCAAGTCGTCGACGTACACGAGGATGTAGAACGGCGGCAGAGAGGTGTCGGTGCGTAGAAACAGCGACGGGTCGGCAGTAGAAGGAGCAAACCCAAGAGCCGCAAGTGTAGTCCTCAGTGTGTCGTGCCACTCACGTGGCGCCTGGCGGAGACCGTAGACTGGACGCCGGAGACTCCACTGGGTACCAGAAGGGAAAGACCCAGTGAAGCCAGGTGGGCGACGCAGCCAGATCTCCTCGTGCAGGCTGCCCTGCAAGAAAGCTGTGCTGAAGTCAAGAGAGTGCAGC